AACCCCCCCCCCCCCCCCCCCCCCCCCCCTCCCGGCTCCAGATCCAAGGGCAAGCACTGGCGGACGTCCTCCGCCTTCCGCGAAGCCTCCCCGGCTCCCCATTGGTCAGCCTGGACCTCAACGGCGTCGATCCTGGGAACGACGCCCCGACCCGTCACGCCGCCGTCCTTGAGAAGGCATACCCCTTTGTGGACATCCTCCACGCCAACCTCGAAGAGGCCGAGGCGATCGTGGGACCCTTGGAAACCGGCGACGGCGATGCTCGCCTCCGGGCGCTAGCGGAGTGGTTCCTGAGCAAGGGGGTCGCCGTCGTGGCGATCACGGCGGGGGCTAAGGGCTCCTTCACCGCGGTGACGAGCGACGCCGAGAGGCTGGCCGCGTCCCCGGGCCTGGCGAGGCAGGTCTCGGCGTGGGCGGGCCGGGAGGTCAGGGCGGCCGCTTTCGCGGCAGGGGAGGGTGCCGCCGTTAACGCTAACGGTGCCGGGGATGCCTTCGTCGGGGGCCTGGTGCTAGCCGCCGCGGCGTGGAGGGAGAGCCTGAGCCTGGAGGAGGCGGTGAGGTTCGCGGCGCTGGCGGCCCTCCAGCGCGTGGACGAGAGCCTGCGGCAGGCCGAGGACGCGACTAACGCGGCGGAGCTGATGACGGTTGCCAGGGCCGGCTCGTTGCCGCCCACGCTCCCGCTGAGTTGACGTATTTTGTTTTTCTTTCGGTGTGTGACCCGGGTTTGTTCGTTCAGCGGTAGAACTTGCGTTTTTGTGTGTTTTGTGTGCAAAAAATAGGCTAATTTTTTCGTCGGCTGAGTTAGTGAGCCCAGCTGGCAGAGGTGTTAGCAAGATACATGCGTTCTTTGCACGGCCGCGGTTTTGTTGCTGTTGATAGGTAGGCCAGCTAACACGCTGAGCGATGGAGTGCCGACGTGAGTGTGCGATACGCCGCTTATCGTACGAGTTCGCAGTACATGTAGTAGAGTTTAGGCTTTTGAGAGATGTAAGGCGGCCAGGAATCCTCAAGCTGTCCTTGTTCATGTCCCGATTCGACGAGGCTTGCAGGGTCGCAAACGTGTTGTATTTATGGAAAGCTATTGGTGCAGCTTTTCGAAAGAGATGTGACTGCTTGTCCCAGGAGGTTGGATGCTGGTCATGGGCTGTCCTCCCTTAAACTCCCGATCAACACTTGTTAATAAATTAACCATTACATGTACATGTAAACAGTCATCTTGGCTGGCTCGTGCGCACGCACAACTCTACTTTCTAATCTAAACCTTCGAGGGGTAAATGTCACAGGCTATACGCACCTCCTCAGCTTTATCTATGCCTCTATCTAACCTGCTAACCAACCTCCACCTGCACCGATGCATCCCCAAAACATACGTACAGACCCCGTCAAAGAGCTGGGCAATGCAGAACAAAACGGCACAGGGCAATATACTCCGTCTACCGCATTCAACTTTAAAACAGCAAGGGCCGGAGCTGAAGGCTCACTAACCCATGGCCTACATAAAACGGCAACGAGGCAAGACAATCACAACACAAACGCCTACAATGCACATCTACAAATGAAATAACCTTGGACACATGGACCCTAGTATTCGCGGGTGGTGTTCGCAGATCGACATTGACCCCCCCCGCCCCCTCCCTTCTGCCCTCTACCGAGAGTACCCAAACACCGTTTTTTCCGTTGGACTTCAGGGGGTGCCGGGAAAATGGCACACGCCGAGGTTCCCTTCTGAAACAATAACACGGAAAAAGATAAACTAACCTATTGCCTCGATTTGTGGATGACCTCGCTTGCCGTAAATTAGAGGACCAGATTTCTTCCTCCGTCATGTTGAAGGCTGCGTACCGGCCGGTGCCGTCGTCGAGAGGGGGGTACGGTGACCCGCCGTCGTCCCCTCTTCCAACTGGTCGAGACTCCAGCCCAGTTTCTTCAGCACGCGCATGTGGTGTAGCGAGTCTATGCCGTTGTTTTGGCGGTGTATCCGAAGCTTTGCTCTGCCCTTGTCGTTGACAGTGCCGTCGCGCAGTACTTCCTTCGCGAGCGCTTCGTACGTCCGACTCGAAAAATCGTCTTGGTAGCTGCCCGACACGCAACGCGTTACAACGGCGTCACGGAGTTTTGCGCCCCACGGTGGAAGGAAGATAGGCACGGGTACAAAAAGCCACATTGTAAGGTTCCAGTTTTAAGACTGTCTGGACGAGTTTTAAGCCGTGGATAAGTTAAAAATGGGGGGAGGTACAATTCACACAGCAATAACTTTCTATACACATTAACTTGGCCACAGCTATCAAGGAGGCCGGCAACAGGATGATACCGAACCCCGACGTCCTTCTCTCACCCTTGGTCGAACTCCTGGGTACTCCACCCCGCAGTCTTGAGCTCTGCCGTGTGTGTGGCTTCGTCCACGTTCATGTCTTGCCGCATCTTTTCGAGCTCGTCCTTCTCCATCGTTGTCACGACGCCATCCACGAGCACCCCCTGCCCACGACATGACAACGGCAGCCATGACGATGACAACGCGGCCATGCAACCACAGGGGGGAGGAGTACGTTTTGACACTTGAAAAGACATTCGAAATACCCAAGCATACAAGTTCAGCGAGCGTCGGTTCCATCGACGCCGTCCAAGCAAGCACACGAAGCAAGTACCTGAGGAGCACGTAAGACTGAGCAGGTGCACGTCGGCATGGGAATGAAGTGGACGAAAATGTAGAAGTACAAAATAGTCCAACGCCAGGGTCCCCCAAGAGCGCGGCATAGCGACGATCCCGTGTATGCGCGCTATTATCAAGAGACTCCTCATTTCAGCGGGCATTGCTGCTAGGATAAATAGTTGGCACAATCAGTGTGCGAAAGAAAAAGCTTGACCACACCACCACTACATCGGGTCCCCACTCCAGTCGGGACCGCACTATTGAGGGACCCTGACCGCACCAAGACGGGCGAAGCAGACAGCCGCACCCAGGCACCCGCACGCAACAAAACAGCTAACTAAACCCGTACCCAAAAGGATACGGCGAAGCCGAACCCACCGTGAGCAACTGCCGGTACTTGACCGCGGGGTCGTGCGTGTCCACCAGCTTGGACACCATCGCCCTGGCTAGGGCGGCGTGGAATCGGACCGACATGTTGGGATTGTGCGCCAGCAGGTCTCTCAGCTCGTCGAACTGCCATGACGTCACCTTGGCTCCACCGTGCTTCACTTTCACCTGACATTGTCAAAAACAGCAAGAAACGAATGAGCAAAGGTGGTGATATTTCTAAGGAAAAGTTAAGGTTCATTGTCGGAGCTAAGGATAACAATCACGAAGACGAGTAAAACGTTAACACTCACCCCGGAAAAATTAATCACTTTTTCTGGTATAACATCTTCACACAACGGGCAGTCCCTCTTTGATTGTATATTTTCTAAAAACCACACCCGTTGTGGAGAAATACTTTTTACCCGTGCCTAAAAGGAACCCCGAAAAATAACAACGACCACTAACCTTCGGAGAAACTTTCGGGCGCGAGACCTCCACTACTGTCTCCCACTGCAGGAAGATTCGGCAGCCAAACCTCGCCTTCTAGAAACTAAAACCACCCACATACACAAAGCATGCCAGCTTCGGCTTTGTAGGGATGCCATGTCTAACGCTGACAGGATGAAGACGAACAGTGACTGCCGCCTACTTTTCCAATTGTCCCTGCTTCATGGGGTATATATTGTGCGTCCTGGTCGAACCGCGGGCTCACATTGGCGACAGCGACACAGTCACATACTGCGGGACCCCTCCCCGATGATCCTTCGCACTCCCTTCGAACGTGCCGAAGAAAGCTCATCTTGACGATCGATGTGGTGGTACGAATGGTAATGGTGTTCGGAAGGGTGTTTATGTCGTGGCGGAATGATAATGATATGAACCACAGGGAATGACAAGGTGCGGCAAATTTTGCTTTGTGCAACACGTGATCTTTCAAGTACGGCGTGAGATGATACAGCGGGAGATGATATGGCGGTTTCGTACCCATACAGTAGATGGTATGGTGCCGGTGACGAGTAGGGCAACTGGAGATGCCATGAGGAACGACGGCCGCAGCCAAGGCATCGGGTCTTGCACAAAATGTTGGTGGATGGAATGCACGGAAGGAAGTAACTTCGATGTGCGTGTAGTGACCTTGCCATCGCAGAAAACAAAAAAAGAAAAAACGGTCACAGGCTAACGCACGACGAAACGCAACAAATGTAAGAGCCCACCAAACAGGTAAGGTCTTCGCGCACCTCTCCCGCGAATTCTCCCGCCTTCACGGGGGCAATATCGTTGCCGCCCTTGGACACCTGCAGCTCTCCCTCCATGACGAGATACAGCCTCCTTTGCGTCACGTCTTGTTCTGCCAGGACATCACCTGCTCGCTCACACGAAAAGAGAAGAGGTTTAGGAAAGCAACGAACGGTATTAATAGTAGGGGTCAAGCACGGACGTCATGTATAGGAAGGTAGAGGAGGAAGGAGCAGAGGAAGCGAGGGGTGGGGACTTGGGGTGGCTCAAAATACGGGACGGCAAAAATTGCTCAATATTTTTCGTCATCTCATTTACTACATGCGCAGCTATGAGACCCACCCCTCAGTGACCCCAGAAAACCGAACAAAAGACGATTTTCGAACCATCGTCGTATTTCTAATTCTTCCGTTTCACAATAAACGCCAGTTTGTTCTGTTCTACAACAAGAAAAAAAATATGTTATGGTGACCGTCGCTCCCAGTTTAGGACCATCCCTTTCCTCTTTCACTGAAGCGCTCCGATCGGGGGACACACAGACAAGAATTCTTCCGTGCGTGGAACATTAAAATCGAAAAGGGTTACGCCTGCCTTCCCTCAAGCACACGGCTTTCAACAGAGAGAAAAAACGCCCCTTCCATGTACGCTCCATTGCTGTTGTGGTGTGCATAGGCTAGATAGACGCCTGCCTACGCTTGTGCCAAGTCCAACTCGTACAAACGCTACCTTTACTTCCCTTGATCTTGATCTCACCTGCGGTATGCCTCGAGTCCTCCGAGATGCCTCTGATTTTCATGAAGTCCACCGCGGTTAGTCCTGACTCACGAAACGTCTGTACGGAGCCACCATCGCAACAAGTCGACATGGTTGGGGGTCGCGTTGTTTTTCCGAAGGTAATGAAAAACATCAAACAAGAATACGCGAAATCATTTCCCAGCTCTGTGCGTGTTCAAGTTCAGGCCGAGGTCGAATGTGATGTGCGAACGTACGTACGTAAAGACACACCGCTCCTGACCAGGCTTTTCATAGCCGCACATGTGCTTCGAATGAACGAAAACTACCAACAACGCCGGGCCGGCAACATAACAAGATAGCGGGTGAACGTCTGCAAGCAGCGCGGTGCAAGAGGTAAGTGCTTGCTGCTTCGGGGCGTTGCTCTCAAATACCGAGGACGCAACGATCCCATCCCCGGTGATCTCCAATAGACAAACAACGCCTCCTCCTCCGAGAAACCAAGAAGAATACTGTAAGATCGTAGGAAGGAGCACCTTGTCGTAGAGAGCAGCCGTTTCTTGGTCTTGCCGCGTAGCGTCGCGCTTCTCCTTGAGCAGGACTCCCGCCATACCGACGTTGATGGCGAGAAACACAAAGTTCCAAGAGATGGGTATCCACAACGGCTGCGGTCTGTAGTACTGGAACACGATTGATGCCGACACGCCTGCGAACATACACGAGAAGGGAGAGAGAGAGAGAGAGAAAGTAGAACGCTGAATGTTAGTTAGTACACCGCCGTACGTGATGTGTGTGTGTTTTGACATGTTTTTTTGTCTCTGTAGTTCCGTCTCATCGGGAAAATCGCCTTCGGTGTCGGTTGGTGAGTGCCTGGTGCAGGGATCGATCTTAGGGCTCAAGTACTTGTGCCAGATGCCACCGGATCTTTGTTGATCAAGACGAGCAAACGTGACAAACAACAACATCAACAACAACGAAAACGAAAACAGTATTACAAGCATGAACAACAACAGCAGCAGCGGGAAGGACCTAACTAACGAGATTAGACGAAGTGAGAGCAGCAGTTTATCAACAACCATCAGTTTCTTACGCCAGCAGCACAGAGGTTACAAAATCCCGCCGTCATTCCACCCACTGCCCCCCCTTTCGTCTTACCCGCGGCCGCGTAGACTCTCAGCGGCAGCAACTCCGTCTCCAAGAAGCCTATCCCCAAGCAAACGAACGACAAGTGCCCGGCCGCCTCGCTGAGAGACATCCGACAGAGGTGTGTGCCGAACATGGAGATGTCGTGGCGCTCGTTCCAGCGAGGGGAGAGGTGGTGCGGCAAAAACGCCTTAATACCCTCACCCTTTCCGGCGGCGGCGGCGGCAGTGGCCGACGTGGTCTCCTTGGCGGAGGTGGTGCTGGGTCGGCTGTGTGTAGGCAAGGAGAGGCCAGGAACGGAAAACGAGAAGGTTCATCCGTCCGTGGGCGTGGTGAATAGGTCGGGTGTGTCTGCTCCAATCTGACAATATCATATCATACGGTACGAGATTCTTACGCGCTCTGGGGTCACGCGCAAACACGTAGAGGCAGCTCTCGGCCATCCCCAGTAGACTAGGTATTGGTCGTCCCCGCAGCGAACAAGTCGGTGAGTGCTGTAGGGAGAGGATGCTGGCGAATGCGTGCATTTGGCGTTTTACATCGGATCAATGCAAAGTTGTGCTCGAGGTATCGCTAAAGCCGGCTGAGTGGTAGGGATTAACCGAAGTACTGCTGTGTCGTATCGGATCCCATCGGAATACAATATCGACACGATGTAGACCGCAGGTGCTTTTGACGGCTGTTCGATGAATAGACTCTTGATACGGCGCGGAATGTACACACGTTCGGCACGTGTCTGATCTCTGCAATATCCAACACGGATGGTGTCAATGTTGTACATAGTGTTACATACTTCTATACACCGCTCTCGTCCCACCTTCCAATCTTCCAACACACCTCGCCACCAGCTGGTTCATGCTGCTGATGGATTGACTGCTGTGTCCACATCGTCTACTACTTCGAAGTTCAACGTTACCGGGCCACAACTGCAGGGGGGAGTGTGCTGTGTGTTTTCGTCCTATTTATTATGGCGAGTGAAACGAAAAATTCCGGGTGTAATATTGGCACAAAGAAGGCGGTAGAGAAACACAAGGCACACTAAAGAAACGTTGGCGATTCGCAAAGTAAACGGATGGATTGTAGCAGGCCACGGTACATGGCTGCTGCTATCCTTCTACATTTGTTGTGTGGGTAGACTATTGTAGAGCGACGCTACTGCTGTGGCTATCTCGACTACCGCACAGCAGGTTGCAGAAGATGTCACACACCCCGGTCTGATTTTCAACGCGAGATTAAAAGCTCTCTCTGCATCAACATACATATAGCGACGGTGCCAGAAACGGCGGCGTTGGAACCATCGTAGTTGAGAGCTGTCCAACATTGCATCAGGCGATTGGCATCCTCTTCGATGTGGAGCACTAGAGATTTAAAATTTCGGTCCAAGCGGGTGTGGTATCTGTATGGTAATCGTATCTACTGGCTGTACAGTACATGCCGGCGAAAGGTGGAGGAGCAGGTGCTGGCTCTACTTGTGCTTTATGCATCGGCTGCGCACTCGGAGCCGGCCTACGCACGGAAACGTGAAGGTTCCATGCCGGATGAACCGCAGTACACTAGTCTGCCGACCTCGTTGATAGAGCGTACGGCTACTGCAGACCTTTGAGTTCTGGGGCACACCGCTCATCACATATTTCATCATCATGTCAATCATACACAACAGATTGTCGATCCGGTGTGCTATCCTACCGGGCATTGCGGAGTTTCACGAGTGCGGTATCCGGGAGCGCCCTGCGTGATGAGAGGAACCCAGCGCCAGGATATTTCCACCTCAGCAACTCAGGCCGGCATCCTCGACGTAAAGTTCCCTGAGCCCACATGAAACTGGTCCTCTCTGTGTCTGGGTGTGTGCAGCTGCAGCAGTGTGTAGTAGAAGAAGGGTTAGTGTTGCTTCGTCGTGAGGGCACAACAGATGGCAGGGGGACAGGGTACCCAAGGGGGCTTTTTCACTTTCACGACGTTCTCCGATCCACCAGCCCAGAGATCATGTTTGTCTACATCTCATGAATCGCTGTAGGTGTTTAGCCTACAATGCAGACAGAGAAGGCAGCTGGCAGTGCCTCCCCACACGTACAGCAATACGCAGAAGATGTGTAGGGCCAGACAAAAAGGCAGAGCACCTCATCCTACTTCATCCATCCGTTCATTCATAGTACATAGGCGAGAAGTCAATAATTAATGTACGGACTATAGTGTAGCAGTCTATTTTCTAATACAAAAAAATTCACGGTCTAGCTAGCACGGTTGTCTCTTGTATGCACGCATGTATCCGTAGGCGGCAACTTTGACTTTCTATGCGTGACCACCACACCATCCGAGAGATCGCAGCAAGCAATAGTCTATGACCTTTTGTAGCCTACCTGTAGCATCATCAACAGCAGCCTTCGAGCCCCATCAACTATTGCCAAGATCCTCAAGAACGGCCTTTGGCTGTTTCCGAGTACGAACTGCAAAGAAGGTTAGTATACGGTTGCACGGCGACGAGTGGTTACAGAGAGACTGAAGATTACCTTTGTTTACGACCACTCATCATGCATGCACGCACGTGGTATGATAAAACAGACAGGTCGAGCGAGCACTCACAAAAAAAATACGAGTACATACATACATGGATTGTTGAAGCAGGAACCAACACATGGATTGGGTTCCCATCTGTCTCCAAATAAATCCTAAAGGGTTGCGTGCGTGTAGCAGAGTGGGTGAACGAACTACTTGCTTTATGTGTAATACGTAGATGGCCCGCGCACGACAGCATGACAGTCACCTTGCTTGGTGTATCTACTTGTACCAACAACGAGTAACGAGCAATTGTCGTCGCAAAGTCTTGCCACAAACACATGGATGGATGGGCATACCGTGGATATACACAGCCCCACAGGCCCAGCGGAACGCGCGGCGGGTACTTTCGGGACCAACCGCGGGGGAGGGAGGGAAATCATTCACGCGGGGCGGTCAAAATAACAACAACAAACATTGGAGCCCACACTTATTTTGTACTGTAGCTGGCGAGGGGCAATTGGAACGAGTACTGGGGTGCACAACACCCGGCCCGGCGTTGTTTGCGATGACGCATACCTCGCATTCGCCGTAGTATCATTGGATGTACGTGGCGCCACCACCAACAAATTACGTTTTGTACCGTATGGTTTGAGATCAAATAAAGACAGCCAAGTAGGATGTACCAAGCATGCAACACAAAACATGCACGCGTGTTCACCAGTACACAAAACAAACGAAATGGCACACTCCGTACCCTAAAAGCAAAAAGACAATTTTTGCGCATGTACCGAAAAAAACGAACAAACCCTAATCGACAGTTATGATACTTACGTAGAGAAAAACAAACGACAAAGCGACAAGCTAGACTATGTACCTACCGCGCGAGGACCCCCCACCCAACTGCCTTCAAAACGTGACCCTGGCCTTGGTCGGCATCGTGCCGTGTGGGCGAAACGCCTATTCGTTCAATCAGTCGACGGTGCATGCGTGCTCCACTCCGTCCCCGCCCAATCCTTACACCAAAGCGCATGCTAGTCATTCCGCTCTCTTGTCATTCTTCATGCATGAGGTTGTGCTGGAGGGGGAGTCGTTGCGCACAACACAGCAGCCCTGGACTACTTGGTAGTACCGTTCTCGCCGATGGCTACCGCAATGCTGCTGCGATGGCGAAGCAGCACAACCAGACCCAGCGCCAACACAGCCCCGTCTCTAATCTCGGCAAAATTATCATCGTAGACTACCGACCGACACTGCATGTTGTATCGCGCGACCTAAGCAAACATCTACATCTAGTTGTACTTGGCGATTGCGTCCAGTAGGGCCGCGCATTCTGCCTTCACGTCGACCGGCGCCAACCTCTGCAGCGTCTTCCTCGACCTCGTTTCGTCGTTGTACATGTCGGTCTTCACGCGGAGGGTGAGCATGTACGTCTTGAAGCACGCCTCGGAGAACAGTTCTTCGAGCTCAGCGTCCTTCGCAAAAAAAAAAAAAAAGCGAACGGAAGGCGTCCCCGTCAGTTGGACCAGTACACATACTACGGATAGTAAAAGGTAAGTGGAGGACCGGAACGGTTGTTAATGTGAAGACAACAACAACACCGGAAAAAAAAAAAATCAGGGTTGCCACAAAAAGGACGTCCTCCCTCGCCCCACACTTAAAAACTTTGGTAAGCACTTTGCTACGTGTGTCTTGTGTGTTAATAGTTTGGTTTGGTTTGGTTTGGTTTGGCAAGAAGATTGCTGATGCAGAATACAGCGTGCGCTGAAGATGTAAACTCTTTACGTACGATTGCGTGCTTGCAGAGAGGAGCCAAAAAACAAAGAAAAATAAACCAGCAAAACAAAACACAAGTCAAAGCGGCGTGCGCTCGTTGTACTGAACAAACTCGTGCAACTTACGTTTCCCTCTTCCTTCATCTGGAAGAGCTCGTCCGCGGTCCTGTTGTCGAGTAGCTCCACCCCTTGGTCGTTGAAAGCCGTCACCCACGCTTTGCCGGTGTTGTCCGAGATTTGCATGCTCAGCATGTACCTTTTTTGTGCCAAGTGCCGAACGAGAGGACAGGGCTTGAGGAAAACCGTGGAAATCGTCACCACTTGAAGCTCCTACATGTAATTAGCTCTAGCGCGGGGAAACAAAGCTACCCGGTACAAGGTAGAGATCGTCGGGAAAAATCGACCACGCTATTGTAACGCCTTGCGGACAAGGTAGACAACTACAATCCAAACTGTTGTAGATTTGTCGTCCCGTATTTTTGAGTCATCCCACGGTACCCACACCACGGTACGGTATCTACAACCCAATTAGGGGCGGCGGTCACTGTTTCCGTATCCAGCACCAGCTCAAAGGTGAACAAAAAAGGAATCGTGCGGTGGAACAGAATAAACGGATGCAAACACATCCATTTCGGTTGGTGGTGTCCCCACGCCACTAGATAAAACATCCAGTTTTCGCCCTACCGTAGTTTCCGGTTCTTCCTCTGGGCTCATTGTAATCTGTCCTTTTCTCCGACTATAGGTGCCCACCCTCTCTCATTCTTCATCGCTCGATTCAGACTTGAGCTCGACCGGAACGTTACCATAGAGCACAGCAACCGTACGTATTGTACATACCTTCGTTGGCACTCCGGGTGCGTCTGGTTGCACTTTTCACACTGCCACGCGCCTTCCATTGTCTCCGTAACCTTTCCGGCGACAGCGATGGAGGGAGGGAGGGAAGGAGGGAGACATGGCGTTCAAATTAATGGTCTTCCAATAAATGATGGGCATGACCCTCTCTCGGTCCCCATAAACGAGTAACCGCTCTCGATTCGTTTTTGGACAAAATCGAGGTTTTTATCTGCTCTCGCCGTTGCCGTGGCAAACTGCTATTTAGATACTGGCTACACCACCAACCTTTTCTCAGCTGTGAAGAGGAAAGCAGGCCTACTGCTTGTTCGAAGAGCCGGCGCACATCGAACTCTTTTTCGACACAGGGCAACACCAAGAAGAACAAAATTGTGTGCGAAAATATTGCTGTAATAGTTTTTGGGTGCGCATGCTTTGCAAGGGGGGTTGGTGAAAAAATGGACCCTCGGTCAACAACCAAATACAAGTCGTCATTACGGTACCTTTTTTCTTTCGCGAATGGTGACCCCCTCTCCTTTCTTTGAGTCTTGTGATACGCACAGTATCTATACAAACGATATTCCCCCCCCTCCTGTAAAGACTCCAACCCACCCCCCTTCCACTGTAGTTATTATCATCTTTGACTGTATGTACAATATATATTCTAAAATGAATCGCGCTCACCTTTTTGTTGCAGCCTTCCTTCGGGCAGGCCGTGTACCACGGGAGCCGCTCTCCGTCCAGCCTGGTTCACAACAAACGGCCAAAACATAGAATACACCCGTATAGGGGGGAAACACACACACAGGGGCGCGCATGTTTGATTGGAAGGCGTGTTTGTACTATTTGTTTATCCCACAACAAGTCGGACGTATTTTCATTGGTCAGCGGGCTATGTAGCGCGGTCGATGCAAACTAAAAAAAACACACACACACACACACACAAGGTATATACTTAGAAGCATTTTCTGTTTTCCGCCGCACTGAGACTCATTGGAAGCCGGTTAGCGCAGCCTATGCCAACAATACAGACACGTACATGCACGCATGGGAGAGAAAATGCAGCAGACAGAAGACCAGAGAGGCGTCGGCCACATTCCTCAACAGGCATGCCGAGGGAAGCATAGCAGTTAGACACCTGTATGAATATGAATATGAATATATCCCGACTGGTATCTACAAACACGGCCGGGCACAGCACTTGCGCACACTAGCGGCTCCCTCTGCAATCGCCTTTCCACAACAAGGTGTTTGTCGTTGGTGTTTCTGCAACAGTACAGTCGTGGGTCCTCAACAAGGCGGGTTTGCGCCAGACCGATTCACCCGCCCTATACAGGACACCCGCCATATTCACTCTGTGTACAACAACACGATTATTCCTTCTGTGCCGGCCAATTTTACCCTCGTTATATTGGGCAACCCCTTTTAATTTAACCCGTCATTTATAGAGGGCCTACGACTGTACATTGGTATTCTGTTTTTCGAGTGTTATTTTTTTCTTTTTTTCTCACTTGATGAAGGAGATCGTCGCCTTCACCACGGCCCAGTCGGGCTTCTCGCCGTTCCCCAGGTTGCCGTCAGTTATGCTCTGCAACGTGTACCGCTGCGAGATGTCCTTCTTCGCCGCGTCTGCATCATCGCCGTTAGGGGTCACGGGCAGTAGCAACAAAGTTCGCGTTCAGATACGTCGGATACATGCTGTTGTCAGATACGACCATGGTCCGCCTGGCAACGCTATCGCAAGGGATGCGATGGCGGTTATCAACAGCCACTACGGCGCTGCAAGGAATAAACGTCATGATTGGATTCATACTTCTTTAGGAATGCTATCTATTGACATGTGGTCGCACTCCACCGCAAGCGTTGTGGTGGTAGATATGGACGTGACAACATCCTGAATATGAACCACAACGGTCCTGACATTTCAAGAAGCTGTTGTACTCAGCGTGTGTTGCAATCTGATTGTATCTGATTCTGCCCTGAACCCAAAGAACCTTCTGTGGGCTCTGAGTCTCCACAGCAGAGCATAACGACCCACGTTCAAACCGCCGTCCCATGGACCAAGCTGTGCATTTCAAATCATCGCTGCTCGACAGGGCTACTGTATCAACGGCAAAAGCACGCCACCTCAAAACGACAAGGACGAAGGGTTCCCGTTGACCAGCTAGTACGCAAAAGTCATTCAGCAGAATTTTTAACTCATCGCCCCCCTATGCATACCTCGTCCTAGAAATACTGAAAGAAGGTCGTTCTTGCCATCCGCTACCTCTCCAACAGATCTTTCAATGGATCTCTCTCATCCACAAATAAATTTACCTACAGCAGTAGCTCGCCGGTGGGAACCCCCTCCAACGGATCTCTCTGCCTCTCTGACAGTCCGTCGGTGAGAAAGAACCCTCTCCAACGGATCTACCTTTCAACGGATTCACTCCCCGTCCTCTCTCACCGTCACTGCCGCCGCCCCCTCCGTTCCTGACGGTGACGCTCTTGAAGCTGGACCCGCCGCCGGCGGCATCGAACCACGCCCGTAGGTCGGCCGTCTCGGGGACGTCGGGGTCGTTGACCAGCGTAGATGCGTTCAACGAGTTGAGCGATCGCCCGCTGAAGTCGGACAGCTGCGGCGCCACGGGTAAAAAAAGGACAACAACAAAAGGTTTGGGAAGAACTCAGGTTGCGCGCTATCCGGTTGACCAATGAAAAAGACGTGAGTCTCGGATTAAAAAAAAAGGTGAAAAAAACGTGAACACGCACTCTACGCATTCTAATCGCGGGCATGTGCTTGTTACACACTGCGTGAAACTTGAGCCAACGACTTTCGTATCGTTCAACATAGCGCAAGCGCCACGTCAGCGCAGGCGAAGGGGGTGTTGTTGTACTCTTCGTGGCCTATGCATAAGGTGACTACTCACGCCACAACGCAAACGCTGACGCTAACGCCAGAAGGCTAGGCTGTACCTTGACGCCCTTGAAGGCAACGACAGGGTTGCCCTCCCACCGACTCCCGTCCGCCTTGGCCATATCCCCCCACAGCGTCAAGTTGATCTCCGTGCACGTGTCATCCACCAGGATCAAGTTGCGCTTGTCCAGCTGCTTGCCAGCCCTGCTTCATGTCGGCATTGTTGTCGCTGTTTGTTTGTCTTGCACTTGATCCTTTTGTTACTCGTGATGTTGCGGTGTGATCACGTTGTGCTTGACGTGGCTGTCAATGTCTCCTCTTCTGATACTGCTGTTGTTTCATGTTTCATGTTTCATGTTTCATGTTTCATGTTCCTGCCGGGGTTGTTGACAGCACAATCGTCAAAACTCGACTCCACACAACTTCGTCGATGTCAACTTTTGATCAGTACGATAGCCAAGCCTACCTCAATATTGGCATAGTCTTCCACGCCGGTCGCACTGCACGGCACGAAGACTACTTGCTACCATCGCGGCGGAGACGCTCTACAGTACTCTCGCTGCACCGTACCGCAGAGAGATCTGCCAAAGACCAAAGCAGCAGTCATCAGTAATTGCCGTGCTCACCTTGACACGAACTGTGCGTGGTCTTCGACGCTCTTGACGACCGCGATCACATCCAAGACCTTGTTCGCCTCCAACGCCTCCATCTCGTTCAGCTTCACGAAGGCGTAGCTGCGCAGGCGAACGCGGTAGGATTGCAGCGGTAGAGTAGCGACGCCACCACACCAAGAGTTGAGGGGAAGCGAGGCACGAGAAACAATAGGGTACTTTGTGCTTGAAGGAAGACACGACCGTACAACTGCTATCGATTACCTCCTTGCCGAGCGAGTTGACCCGTGCTCCAAGCCGTACGCAAAACAGCAGTACGTCAAAACTAAATTTGCGCGCTATGTACTCAGGACCGCGAAACACAGCAGTTGGACACTTCTCTGCTCATGTACTCACGTCGCGCTGCCGATGCGGCTGTCGTCGTTGATGGGGTTGATCTGCGTGGAGGAGTCGAAGGTGAGCTCGTACTCTGCGTTGAACGAGGAGAACTTCTTGTTTGCCACCTTCACCTTGCCGCCAGTGAAGGCATAGACCTGCACACATTAATGGACGAGCCGAAACACAGCATCACACACAAACCTGTTCGTGAAAATTCGAGCTTAGCCAAAAGAACGACGGTTAAATATGATGTGATTGATACATATAGGTGCCTTCGAAACACAGCACAGCGTCGCGTCGGTATATTTTATCTCTTCGTGCAAGTCTTCATTCCATTTGAGGCAAACCCACCACACTAGCATGATGCTGCTAGATAGGATGCGACTGGCTGCTGTCAGCACGCCCTCGAATCATCGCCACCACCACCACCCTTGCAGTAGTAACAAACGACGCCATACCATGAGTGGACAGACCGTGCACCAACACCAACATTCGTATAGTACATACATACAAGTAGCACTTGAACGAACGTGCGCGGATTCTTGTGTATGTTGCAGCTGCCGTTACATTGCTGCACGTGGTGTTGTTGCGATGGTTGTTCCTGTTGTTGCCTTCATGTCACGAACCGTTTCCATCTCTACCCGGTGCCTCAGTATTCCATACTAAACCATGTACCAACCCCGGGCGTGGTGGGAAGGGAGCTCACACGAGATTGTTTTCGAGCACAGGATCAAGTATTGGGGGGGGGGGACGAACAGGAATACCAGTCAAGTACCTTGGACGATCCTTACACCCATCGGCTTTCTACCCTGGTTTGTTTTCTTACCTGTCCCTCCTGAAGGATTTGGAACCATTTGTCCGCGTCTTGCTTGAAGAACGTTCCCTTAATCTCAGACCCGTCTTCGTCGAGCAGATCCACAGAGAAAAGGGTCCCCGAACCCCGGGCGTTGTTCCATTGACGCATGTCTCCCTTTTTGGTGATCCTGTCGTCGCGACGCAGGGCAACGACAGCATCGCCAGAATTAACCACACTGTGGTCGTCTCATGAGATCGCAACGCCACGCAGCAACGCCAGTACCGACATTTCCCAACACACTGCTTGTTCTGCGGTTGTCTCATGAGAAGTCTTACGTACCTCCTTGTGAGAGTCCCATGAGAGCACGCGGCAGCACGTTACATGTCTAATAGCTCTTCGTTATCATCAAAACTAAACAAACCAACACCAACAACGTCGAGGACGAAAAATAAGCCACCGGTTACGCAGGCAATTGCAAGCAGAAATTCTCTAGAGAAACAACGAGCACAACGCTGCTGAAAGTGGGAGTACATGGTTCAACTCCAGGGAGGAGAAGCAGAGGGAGAAAATGAACAACTCAAATGTGCCGCAAAGGTATACCATATCGCAGTACAGTAGCAGCAGCACGTTCAGTGAGGAAGGAATCGCAAACCGTCAAAAAAACGAAAAAAAAACATCCCTTCGCCTCTACACCGACCTCTAGTGGGCAAACGCCAAAACTTCGGCACTGAGCATTTACCGTATGCCGTTGACCTGCTCACAAACAAAGTGCTTCTGCGCCAAACAAAAAAAAAAACGTCCATGTACCAACACAAAACCTACCTCTTGATAGCATTCCTTCTATCGATCGCTTCAATCACCCTGCTGTGCTTTGCTCTAAAAAAACTCTCCACCTCTTCCCTCCCCTTCCCATGCCAATTGTCGTGTTCCCCCTGTCTCTCGCCCCTTCGCTTTTTCCCTTTCCCATCCCATTGTCTTGTCCCCCCCCCCCCCTCTCGATACCCCCCCC